ATGAAGAAGTCTTGCCCCTTCCCTTCTCATGGCAGTGTTCTGAAATAACTGAGAAGAATGTTTTCTTGCTTGTGTTACGTTCTGCTATAACTGGGGATTCCGGAAACTTGGTCTGATGCGATCTAAATTAGCCGGGTCTGTATACAAGAAAGATACAAACTTTTTTCCTTAGTCGGGAGTGCTGATAGGAAGTCTTTCTTTTTGTTTTCTATATGGACCTCTTTCAGGTTCAGATTATTTTTCAACAGTGAAGAGAGTAGCAGCGAGGTTAAGGTGCACTCTGCCTACCACAGGACACAATAACTGGAGGCGTCTTCCTTCTGTCTCACCCCTTAAAATTCCAGTGAGAATAAATGGCATACCCCAGGTGTTCGTAGGGTCCTCAGATTCTACATCTGTCAGAGACCCCTGGATTATTGCTCCTTAACAACTTGTCAGACTTGTGGGTTTTGGAGGTTGGATGCACATGAGGAAACCAGACCTTGTAAAAACGTATAAAGATTTATTAAATTACGGTTTCTTAAGGTCAGCAAGAAGAAAACAGTGAAGCTAATTTTTCTCTCTAATACTTTGAATACCTTGGTATTAGATGGCCGCTGTCTTGCCCCATAGTATCATGACAAGCATTCTATATGTTGCAGTCCATCATAATGAAGCATAACATACCGAAGTGTACTAGGATGGTGTTAGCATAACTGTCTCTGGCCTATACCATTATAGCTTTTTGCCCTCTGGCATCAGGTGGTCTCCTGAGCCCAATCAAAGCTTTTCATCTCAGGAACTTGCCAGAGGCTGTTGGCAACTGCTCCTAATCCCCCCTCCCATCTGGTTATACAACTGAGCCCAGGTTCTCACAGTTTGCCCAATTACCACATTCTTGCCTCAGGCCTTGAAAGGGATAATGATGGTAGTTTCAGGAACAGTGACATGACAAACACCTGCAAGCAGGACTGGGCCTTCTAATATTCATGTTAACCCTTGAGGGGAAATTAGGGCACTTAGCCTCACAACATCCATAGAATGAGAGGCCTTAGGCCGATAGATGCCCTCTGTGTCTCTTTTGCAGAGGTGTTCTTGGGCAAGAAAGTAGCCAGATTTTGTCTGAAGAGGTAGACCAGGGGAGATATAATACTTGCATGTTGGTATTCAGGTCAGAATCCAGCTGTCAGTACCTGATTGGTGAGGGGAGACAGCCACACAGCAACACAGTCTGAATGATATTTTTTTAGAGTGGCAGCTTGGACCAACTCAGTGAAAAATGACCAGTTTACCTCAGCTGAGAATAGAGTTGTCAGCTCTGGGTTGGGAAATACATGGAGATTTTAAGGATGGAGCCTGGAGGTGTTGGGGTTTGGGGAGGGGGAGACCACAGCAGGGTTTAATGCCATAGTCCACTCTCCAAAGCAACCTTTTTATCCAGAGGAACTGATCTTTATTTTCTGGAGATCAATTGCAATAGCAAGAGCCCCCCCACCCCACCCAACGTGGATGGCAAATGTAGCTGAGAAGGCCTTTGGAAGGTATGGTTCTACAAAAAAGTACTCTCCAAAGTGGCTTGTTTTCACACTGAGATCTCACCCACCTTGTGGTATTTTAATGCTTTGTTTGTTGATTCAGGATACACTCCTTCATGTAGAAAGGAAACATGGTACTCAGTATAAGCATTCATTCTCTGTGACTGGAGGACATCCGGCTGCATTCCCGGGGGTGTTCTCTTTTCAGCAGCATAGCCACAACCTATGATTAAGGCAGAGACAGTTGTCAGGATTAGTTTGAGTCAATCCTATTATCTCGTAAGTTTTCTCTAGGAATTGATTACATTCTGTAGAGTTCTTCATGGTCTCTGCCCATCACAGTAATGGGCTTCGTGCCTGCAAACATTCTAGAGCTAGTTGTTAAGAACATAAGAGACGCCAATGTTGGATCAGGCCAAAGGCCCATCCAGTCCAACACTCTGTGTCACACAGTGGCCAGAAATACCAGTGCCATCAGGAGGTCCAGCAGTGGGGCCAGGACATTAGAAGCCCTCCCACTGTTGACCCCCCCCGAGCACCAAGAAGACAGAGCATCACTTGCCCCAGAGCCCCTAGCTATACCTTGTGGCTAATAGCCACTGATGGACCTCTGCTCCATATGCTTATCTAATTCCCTTTTGAAGCTGTCCATGCTTGTAGCACCCACCACTTCCTGTGGCAGTGTTTGGCAAAGAAACTCCACCTGAACCCACAGCTTGGGCTGAGCATACCCAGAAAAGAGGAACCACACCTCTTACTCAGTTCTCTTTTGTCCAACGCAGCAGTAGCATCGATTGGGAACCTTCTCAGTGAGATATCTCCCCCCCCCCCAAGAAACTATTATCTTTCTTGGGGAACTGTTATCTTTCTATGGTTAGTGACTAAGTACTTAGCCCAGTCACAGAGGCTAAGTTGTTGACAATGTTTTCAGGATTACCCTATATGCATATTATTTCTATTCATTATTTTAACAGGAATGGGACTCATTTACTGGAGTAATCATTGGCGACATGCTAAGAAAATCTGTAAGATTAATTTAACTTTTTCTTATTAAAAAGTAGTGTACTCTAACTTTCAAAGATAGCGATGGAAAATTGTGCTATGTTATTTATTGTGAAAGTAGATTGCCTCACTTTGGTACAATTCTTCCCTTTTTAAAATAATACATGGTTTCTGTTTAACTTCAAAGTCTTTCTATCTGATTGTAACATTGTCAAGAGGAAACTCTGTGTCAAAAGGGCAGGGACAATGCCATACTTGAATTATGATGACTGTGTAGTTAGTATTGTTTATTTACAAGGCCAACAAAAGCGAGGGACTCACCTCCGGCAAAACAGTAAAAATGCCACTGGGCCACTGCACGGGCTTATCTGTCACATGAACTCTGTTTACTTGATAACACTTGAATGCTTGCAGCTGACTCTCTTGAAATGTACTGGGTTGGAGTCAGACTAAATTTTCTGATTACGCAAGGGTACTTTCATCAGTGGACCAGAATGTTCCTGCGTTCCCCCCCCCCAGCCCATTGATCTTCCTGAACTACAGCTCATGCAGTCAAGGGGACCCTGAGTAACTTCAGAAGCCAACAAGTCTGCAGCAGGAAGAGGGCATTTCTGGAAATCACCCCACCTTCTTCCATTATTGGAAAATTAATCTGGATCCAGCCCACTGTGCTTGATGTTATACAAAGCCACTATCTGTAATGCTTAACCTGTATTGAGTCTTTCACAGATGGAGACCATCACTTGATATTTTTGAGTAATCTATTTATAAACATGCATGAGTGAACAGGACCTGTCTGTCTTGGAGAAAAAGCGTGTAACTGCTAGTTCACAGGTCCCCGGTGTGATGCCCATGGGTGTCATGGTGCTCCCCAACACCTCTCCTGACACCCACCTGGTGTTTTTAGAAAGTAGGTGGGGCTTTTGCTTAGCAGAACTTCTGTGCAGATTTTTAAAAACGTTGCTGCCGCCACAGCACAAGGGAAAAGGGATGACCTACAAGTGTACTTTGGCTTCAGTCCTGAAGACACTTTCCAGGGAGTAAGCAGCATTGAATAGCATGGGGCTTAATTCTGAGTAGACCTGCTTAAGACTGTTCCCATCATTTGGGAACAGATCTAGGGGCTGCACAAATTTTGAAAGTAACAGCAGGAAGTATTGCCCTCATTCTGATTTGACCTTGTAACATGACTAGGCAGCCAAAATTGTATTGGCTTCATGGCATGAAATTGCCATGGTACTTCATGATCCCTGACGGGTTAAGTTGACCTCAGGATGAAGTTTTCAGAAACCATGACACCAAAGCAGCATATATGGGGAAGAATCAGCAGTGAACTGTTGAAAAGGCAATGCCTGGTATACAAAGAAGAAGAGAAGAAGACCCTGCAAGGGGCAGCAAGAAGACAATTAGATAGGGTAGTGAGGTCAGCACCTTCTCTCCTGTTAAGTGTCATTCCTTGTCTGTCTCCAGATTGCTACTCTTTGGGCAATTTCCCCCTTCTTCTCAGAAGTGCCACACTCAGTCTACCCTTCTATCTCAGCTAGAGGTGTAGTTAGGAACCTACCTCTACCTCTCCTTTTTCCCTATCAAGTGAATTCCTAAATAAACTTTTATCTACTATTTAATTAGGTTGTGCATCGTTGCTGTGTTAATTACTCTGCCAACATGAACAAAGTCATATGAGAGGACAAAAAGAGAGTTTGTGAAACTTTTCCCCCTTTCCACTCTCAATGCCCTGATTCTTTTGTGTGCAAGTGCACAGTTATTTAATTGAAAGAAATATGAGAAGCAGATCTCTGGGCAAAATATTGGGAGACAGGGTGTGAATAGGATATAGGTATTTTATTTTTTATTTATTTAATATATAATGTTGGGTACTCAGAAAGTTGAGGAAAACAAACAATTAAGGGCCAAGCAGGTTTGTATATTTCAATGTAATGGAAATCAGGCCTTGCGTATAATTCTGAGCCACTTTAGATTTACATTGACACACACAGAGATGTTGGAGACTTGGCCAGAGACAGAATAATTGGTGATTTCTAGCCTGAACATTAGGATCAAGTTAGCAGCTTTGGGATTGCACATTTATAGCTCCATGTCTTTAGACCTTGAAATATCTTACTGCTCTTTTGTGTGTGCCTCTCTCTTGTTCCAAATGAACAGTGGATAGGGTAGCCAAATGTAAGTACTTTCAACTGCCATTGATTCCAAAGAGGCAAAGTTGAGATGTGTCCAAGGCCAGTTTGCCCCTCAAGCAGGCTTCTGGGATGCCATCAGGAGTGGAATAGGAGGATGCACCCATGGCACTGCCACCTGGTTCCAGGACAGCCTGCAGAAGAGGCATCTGTCCCCCTGCCATGTGGCTCAAAGGCAGGCTATCTTGGCACTCTCTCTGAATTTCACCTTGGACCCAGCTGGGACAGCACAGGAAGAGTTTTGTTGGATCAGCTGAATGCTTTGAGCTGCCCCTAACTCTTTGAGTATTTGGCATGTCTGAACTTTGCCTCCTTGGAATCAAGGGGATTTGTAGTTTGACTAGAACAGCTAAACATATTTACATGTTGGCTAAATTATGTTCCTAGTCAGTGACTTCTCTCCAAGAACTTTCTTATCTGTATCTGAAAAATTGTCCATGGTACATGAAAGCTTATACACAGAATTAAACTTTGTTGGGTCTTAAAGGTACCCCTGGACTCAAACTTTATTCTTATTTATAACACTCACAACATGATCTCTGTTCTATTAAGGATTCCCAAAAAAACATTCGAGACCAGATTCCCTCTTGGATAGAGCAGGAAAGAGCTTGGGCAGTGGCGTCTCTTAAGGTAATACTTCATTTCAGTGTTCCTGCTAAAGTTAATTTAGCTCTGTGAAAACTGATGTTTGCCAACATGAAAAGTGTTTGAAGTTGGCAGGGTTAGTATTTGAAGTACTGTGTATTATTAGTTAGAGTTGTCCATGTTTGGCAACCTATTCCTTTCGCGACTTTTCTCCATTAAACTTGCATCTGTACTCTATAGTGTTTCTCCCTTTGTCAGGGTTCAGTTACCCATATTTGTATGTAATGTATAGTTAAGCCGTGTTATATCAAATGTGTATATTAAGTCTTTGCTCTTTTCT